ATATATATATATATATATATATATATATATGTCGTCTGGGAAAAATCTTGAACGACTTGAAGACAAACCGGGAAATCATCGGTAATGTAGTGGTAGGATGAAGTTATTAGGCGTAGGACGAATAAGATGTAGGGGAAAGCTGAATAATAACAATAAAACAAGATGATAAACAGAATAATACGATGAGCAGAATGTTACGGCATGGATGTTTTTTGAGAGAAACTGGATATGAATGGTGAATCATTTACAGGGAGTGCTTGACTTCAAATTCATCTTCATAGTAGCTCTGTTTGTTTTCCCTTCTTAAACACGCTTGATAGCAAATGAATAACATTTATGAGAGCTTTTTTAAAAGCACAAGTTACCTTAATCACCTTAATCGTGGCAAAACAGAGTGAATTCCTTATGTTACATCACTAAGTATTGCTAACAGCTCCAGTCTGTGCTTTTCAAAGATCATTGCACCAAAATATTATCCTCATGCACCAATACAGTATGGCGTCACACGATCACAAAGTATGCTTGAAATAAATTCGAGATATAAACGTATTCACTCATGACCTGAAATTTCGTACATTGTACTTTTTGTAGATTATAGGGGAAATTCCTACCTGGTATGTTTAATAACTGCAGTTATTATCTTGTTCAATTACAAAGATGTAATTTTTAATTTTTGCAATTTTGCAAGACAATATTCGCGAGACGATAGAGCCATTAAGTGTGGAATCATTACAAACCATTACATATTTGGTTCACGATAACACTGTTACACTATGTATATTCAAAGTCATGAATATCTGACAAACCTACATCATATGAATTTTAGATGATTGAACAACGCAACCATTTCAAGTGTCTTATTATTTTATTGGAAACTTAATAACCAAGAAATTCATTTTTGATTAGAATCTCAAATATTGCATTTTTTTAAAGAAAATTCTGAGATCTTGTTCAAAATTGTCAACATTCTAGTACCGTAACTGTCATGAATTTAGACACTCGAAGCTTTTTTTTCTTTCAACCAATGAACCGTTTATTTGCATAAACATACTCTAAACTATTAAATTATTAAACATTGGCAGTTTTGTCTTTACCAAGTGGGAAATTTGTTCAGCCTCATTTCCCAAATCATTTCCTTCAGTACCGCTGCTGTCTTTGTTACTACTTCGTTTTTTATTTGTAGTAAACCTACGATTACGATGTCATAATGGAATGACGAAAATCATAATGGAATGACGAAACGAAACATTTAGGAAGAACTGCATTCATAAAGTAACCATTTCATAAACATTTTCATAACCAATTTCATTTCATAAACATAAACATAAACCAATTCATGTAACAAGAATTTTCCCAACAAGCAGTTCGTTAGGTAAATTTCAAAAATTTTTATGTCAAATTCTTTACTATGCTCATTCGAGAAAAAAAAAAAAGTCCCCTAAAAGTCAAAATAAGAATATTATTTATAGTAGGGAAAACGGTAAATGAATGATACAAATATGGAAGAGAAAGAAAT